AAAAGACCTGTAGATGTAGCTGTGTTGAACAGATAATCAAATTTCATATTATTTAACTTTGTAAGGAATACTGTTTAAAGATTAAGTTATTCCTGATATACTAACCTTCAGACTGCCCAGTGTCAAAATCAGACTTGGTACTTTCTTCTGGGCAGGTAGAATCATACCCAAGGTCTAAATTATCGTCACTAGACAAAATATCCGAAAGCAGCTGAATGGTCAGAATAAAGAGTAAGAAGAGATTAAAAGGTTATTAAGTGATGAAAACTTTTGTATCCACAAACTTTACAATGTATATAAGAAAGACCATTCAACAATAGGTTCACCAAGCTAGCTCATTTAATCAACTGATGCAAAAGTTGACGTCCTGCTCAAGACCAATTAACCAAATTGAGGTACCCACCAATGAAAAATACACTTGTCACCAAACTAAATTAATTACATTTTACATGTAAAATCAAGATTATCACAATGACTTAATAGACAAATCAAATGTGGTTTAGCGTTGTCTGTACTCTTATCGACAGTGATATGTGTCATCACAGTGTTCAAAATGTTGTGGACTCACGAGGCCCAGCCGAGTGAATCTACAACAAATTTTGACCACTGTGATGACGCATTTATTGTTGTCAATAAGAGTACAGACAACACGAAACCACATTCGATTTGTTTTTTACCACAATATCAACATCAAAGAAAATGTTTTTTCCTCAGAGCGTACCCAAGAGCATGACACATTCGCGCGAGCAGCGTTGTCTGGACTGTTATTGACAACAGCATATTAGCCAATCAGATTGTGAGATTAGTAGCAGTTGTGGTAAATAAGATTAATTTTATGTACAGCACTACAATTATTATACATGTACTTATGATTTGCTTGAGTGTTATCTTAATCGCTTTCCAGATTGCTCAAGATCATCATAGGTGGTTGCACAGAGAATCAAAACATTAAATGCCTTCCTTTAGAAACAGCTCTTACTGTTCAATAATATTAAGTTTATATCCCATAAATAAACCTAGAGCCACAGATGTTGCACCACCAATTTATTTGAAGGCAGGAAAATAAATTTTTGAAAATTGAAAACATAGCCAACAAATTTAATTGCAAGTTTTTCCTTTTCATTTGAAATGCAAAATGCAAGCTAGAAAGAAGATTTTTTTCTGTTAATTCTG